CATGTGGCAGAGGGGTTGGAGATTCACCATCCTTGAGGTCTCTTCCAACCCTGGCCATTCTGTGATTCTGTGTGATTCTGTGGCAATGGGAGTCTCACTGTGAGATTTTCTCTGTAGGGCAGTTTCTTTGTCTGACAGCATCCAAGTGCTTTCAGGGATTTCTGCCCATTTGGGTAGTAGGGTTTGGTGTTCAAACTGGTGTTTCAAAGCCAGCACTGTGCTGATGTGGATGCATTGCTGCTGTTTGATCTGGAAGCGAGATTTTGCAGGCATGGTTTAACAAGGAATTACACATTGATTTTTGTGAATTTCAGCAGAAAGAAGGAAAAATAGCTCTCTTGCTCTCCTGTTCCCTCTCTAGGACATTCTCTCACTTGTGTTTGTGTATTTATCTGGTTACTCAGGTTTTCTTGCTATTGTGTGAGGAGGCAAAACACCATGGATGGAGCAGAAAGCCCCGAGTCTGGGTGAGCCTCTTCTTCCTCTGATTCTACCCACAGTGCATCCAATTCATCTTCCACTGTGAAGGGCAGGAAAAAGATTGCTCATTTATCACCTTCTTGAGAAAAGGCCAAACCAAATTGAAAAGAATAGTGTTTAGATCTATAGAAAACCCTGCTGGGCCTGGGTCTGAATTCTTATTAAAAGCCAATGATCAATTGCACTTATTATGTTGGTGCTGTTATCTCCGAAGCACAGGATCCTGTTGTTGCCATAGGAGGCCAGTGGGTTTTGATGCCCACTCTTTTTTCACCTTCAGCTTCTTTCTTCCTGCTTGGCTTTGTGCTACACTGCAGCATGATGACCTGGCATCTGATAATCAGATTGGAGTGGCTACAGTGGACTTGGATGTTTCATATTCTGTCATCTCAGTGATAAGTGTCAACTGTGTGGAAGGAGTTATCAGCTGAAATCAGTTTCAGCTAAGAAATACTTATTTATTGAACTCTGTGTGTCTGGTTTTCCAGTGAGCAGACACGGTGGTGAGGTGAGATTGTCATGGTGATGAGGCATTAGGAAAGCTGCTCTTTCTCTTACTTCTTTTTTAATTTGCTTGGAGCGGGTATTGTAAATGAAATCAGGCAGATCGTTAATTTTTATCAATAAGGAAGAAATGATATCATTTTCTTATTAATAACTGATCACATTTTAACTATCTAAAGCAGCTTTGTAATCTGACTGAATACCAGTATGTTGGTGCCCTTGTAGTCGTTTGTGTTTGTACTTCCCACAGCAACGGCATCACCAAGAAGAGCACCAAAGGTAAGGATCTTTACAATGCTATGTAAGCTTGAGATGGAAGAATGGCTAGAAATATCCTTTGTTTCTATTTGCAAGAGTTGTAGCACAGCATGTCATTAAGAGAATCTGAAAATTGTTCCGTGGTCAGGCAGGCTGCAGATGGGAGATTTCCTCAATTTTGTGTTGTTGAGGCCAGGAGTCCCAGCTGTGCCCAACAATAGGTGGCTTCTGTCTCAGACCTGGGGAAGGAAGGCATGCTCAGGTCTTCTGGCTTCATCTTGAGTCTGGCTCTTTCCTTCCGGATGAATAACATCTCCTTTCTGTTCTTAGATCTCTGTTATCACTAAAACCTTTTCTGGGATTGTCTCCTCATGTGTTATCTGTGATGATTCCTCCCTGAACCCAGATTGTTAGCTCTCACACGGGAGGAGGATGCTACCATAAGGCTGGGTGGATGGCACAAGGTTACAGATGAGCTACAGAGATGGCTGTCCCTTGCTTTCCTCCACAGTAACCTAAAGTTACCTGACCTTAATTCAGAATGACTGGACATGTCAAATGGAACCCAGGCAGAAGGTTTCACTGCATGTTGTATTTGCCAAAAGCTCATTTGGATCATGCAAAACTGTTAAGATTTTAAGTTGAATCATTGTCTTCACTAGGAGAAACCCCAGTTTTGGGGGCAGAGAGGGGAATTAATTTTATCTTTCATCCTTTTTGTGAAAAAGATTCTGAAGATAGTGCAGAGAGCTACTGATAAAGGAGGCATGGAGTCTTGCTGTTTGATATTTCTCTCCTGTCAGGTATATCACAGTTCAATTAAAGTAACTCAGTTCTGTGAGAAACTGATTATTTTTTTTCTTAAGTTGAGTCAAATGCATTTGAATCCCAGGTGATGTTGGCATGGGGTTTTGTTAGGCCCTGGCTAATACGGTGACAAGTTAAGATGTTGTATGAGCAGATTTCTACCTCCAGTGCTCTGGAGGTCAAGTGGTTGCAGAGGATGTCAAGTTCCCATTGTGAGGGTGATAGTTGTTCTGGTTGTTCTTCAGAAGCAGAAGTCTCAACTCTCTTCTTTTTTTGAGGATTGCCTTGCGTTTGAGCATTGTGGAAGACTGTGATGACGGTGCCTAGCAGGCTCCAGCACCTCTTGCTCACAGTGAGGTGTGTTCCTCCTGTAGGCACCTTTGTGATGCACGAAGAGGCTGTCGGGAAAAAATTAATCACAGATTCACCAAGATTGGAGAAGACTTCCGAGATCATCCAGTCCAACCATCTACCTATCACCAACATTTCCCACTAAGCCGTGTCCCTCAATACAACATCTGAATGTTTTTTGAGCATCTCGAGGGACGGTGACCCCACCACTCCGTGTTCCAGTGCCTGGCCTCATGGAGAAGAATGCATCTCAGGATCAGCACTTACGACCACACATCAAATACAGACATAACTCCAGGCGTACCTGTTTTGTAGAGGAAGCTGCAGTTGAATGTGCAGTTGCTGAAATGCCTAGAAAGGAACTCTGTGCACCACACTTACACTGGCCAAGTGTTCCTTCAGCACTGACAAAACTATGAAGCTCCTTCCTGGAGCAAATTCATCTCTCCTTCTCCTGGACCATTTTAAGCAGTCAGACGGAGGAGAAATCCTTGCTGTCGGGTCTGCTCTGCTGTTTAGGAAATGAAATGAGGTAACAACTTTTGAAGCACTCTGCTATATTGAGACCTAAGGGTAAAACTTTAAAAATAAACTTTAAAAAAGTACTAAAAAAAAAAAAAAAAGACAAAGGCTGACAATGTTCCCTTTTTTTTTCCCCTAGAGCTTTTTGCAAATGAACAAAGAGAAGGCATTGAGGACAGTGTTTTCATGCATTTTTTTTTGCTGGTGTTTGGTTTCTTGGGCACCTGCAGCTGAAGTTCTCTGCTTTAAAAATAAGCGAGCAAACAAAGCTATGTATAGAAAGATGGCACTGTGTGTTTTATACACACAGAGGTCTGCAGGTGGGGTTCAGAACCGAATCCCTATTAATAACTTCCCATTACAAACCCTGGGGGCTATTTTTGCCATTATTGATAGTGTTAAATTCAATGAGTGGTTACTTGCTGTGTAAGCAACCAGCAGCTTCTGGAGGAGAGGTATAGCCGAGTGCCTCCTGATGGCAGCACTCACAGTTCTAGGTCTCCTTGTGGCTTTGCTTCAGGATTTTCCTGCAGTTACTTCCTTCTATTTTTGCTATATCATAGCCTCCTTCCTCTTGTGGTAGGGAAGTCGTGTAGTAAACACAGGGTTAAGTTATTTATCTGGTTTGTTTGTGTTTGGGCTTATGTAATTACATCAAGCTGGTAGCCATAGGAAAAGGGCTGTATGCTGAAGGCTTTGGAGGATGCAGTTAAGACAGTATAGAAACACCCTAGTGTGTTTGCCTCTATCTGCAGAGGTGTTTCTTTTTATTTAAAAATGGCAATGTGTCATTTCACTTTTCTGCAGGTTTTTAAATAGTTTCTTGCTCTTTGGCTTTTTTGTATCGCTCAAATCTGACACAGTTGCTTTTCATGCAGTGGTGCAAATGCCTTTCAACTTCCTTTGCATAATTAATACCATTTCCTTGACAATAATTCCTAACCAAAATTTGATTCTGCAAGTGAAATCAAAAGCTGTGGAAAACAACCAAATGCAGAAAATCTCGTCTCCGATTAATCAGCATGGTGCTCATTCCCTTAAATCAGGAAGCACAGGCACAAATTGGATGCACACACCCCAGGGCATCACATCACATTGAGTCACCGGTTGCTGTGAGAACAGAGCTGCAAACTCATGAGCTTCACTGGACCTTCAGCCCAGCTGCACCTGCGTGTGTCATCAGCATGGAGGGGATCTTCTTTGCCCCCGTCCCAAATATGAAATAGAGGTGTGCTTATGACATAAATGTGACACAGCTGATGTAGCCTGGAGGTCAAATCCTTGACCTCCGAAAAGAAATAGAAGTACAGCTAACCTTCTTAGCAGAATCAAGAGGTTGTCTGAGCAGCAGTGACCTTAGCCTCCTCCTGAGGAACTGTCTTCCAGCAGTCTGAGAAAGCCACCTGGCTGGGCCACCCTTACCCAGCAGGGAATATCGATTATATCTCAGCTAGTCAAGAGTCATGGATGGGATTGGAAACAAATCAAGGCCTTGATTCCTAAATGGCTAACGAGAATGCTTTGTCCTGCTTGCTCACATGCACACTTTCTCCCCCAGGGAAAGCTGGTTGCAAGCTACTGTATTCAGTAGCATTTACATTGTCTGCTTAAGTGTTTTTCTCACTTTAAGCTCTATTCTTTTTCCACTGTCAGTGGCACAAGAAAATTTTATTGTCAGGCTGTTAGTTTTGATGACTTTGCAATCTGCCTGACTTGTTGGAAGCAAGGGGAAAAAAATGTCCTTGCCTTTGTCAGTCCTGAAAATAGTGAGCGTGATTTATTTGTGATGTAGAGATGGAAGGGGGCAATAGCACTGAGAGGAGCTGCTACTCAGTGACTGCAGAGTAGAGATCCCAGCAGATGGAGGTAAGAAAGAAGAAAAGTCATCTTTGCACAGGCCCATCTAGGCACACATCCCCTTGCTTTAATAGCAGGGTGTTCAGAGGCAGATTTGACTTTTGTTTCCCTTGTAACACAAGGGGAAATTTAAGTGTGTGTTGTCATAAACTTCTACTGTGTCACAGAATCATAGAATGGCTTGAGTTGGAAGGGACCCCAAGGATCATCAAGCTCCAACCCCCTGCAACAGGCAAGGCCACCAACCTCCAGAAGTGTATGTAATTTGTTCTTCCCTCTTCTAGCAGAGCTTTAAGAAGGGGTTATCCTTTCCTGAGCCTCCCTGGATCAGGAGAGCAGCATCTTGCTCAGCGCAGTCTGTGTCTCCCCAGACAGGGTGCTGGAGAGGGGCTCTTCCCAAGACAGAGTCTCTCCAGCCCGTTGTAATCTCTTTTTGCAACGTATTTTTATGTTCTACTCTGAGATGCAGCAGCACCCACTTCTCCAGCTGCTGTAACAAACCCAACAGCTTTGGGACGTGACCCAGATGTGCCTGGTCAAGGCTGGAGGAGGAGGAGGCCCCAGAAAGGTGTGAAGGGGCCTCAGATGGAAAACCCTTAAGAATTCTCCTCTTCTTGCTCTCTGACAGCAGGGAAACTCCTGATCTGAAGTGAGAAGTGAAAGGAACATCATGTGGGAAGAGCAGGGAGCAGCACTATTGAAACTAGCACGGTGACCACCAACAAGGAAACTACAAGACATTAAAAGAGACTTTGCATCTCTTGGAAGGACATTGAAGGGATCAGGAGCACAAGTGGTTTTCTCCTTCCAACCCAAGCCATTCTATGATGTTTCTATTAAAGGGTTCCCTGCAGACCCTGCTAATTCACTCCAAGGTGAATTAGGAGGACAGATGGCTGTGGGCAGTGCCAGAAGCCCATCTTGGGTTCTGCTTGTGCTCATCAGTCTCTCTCCATCCAACAGCTGCAGGCTGAGGCCCTAATGGCCTGAGTGGGCAGGAAACGAGAAGTGCATTCATAGATTCAGTGCTGAGTTGAGAGCACACACGGGGCTCCTGAGGGATCCTGCTCTACTGGGAGCAGCCAGGAGCCCCTCTTTGTTTTCCTTCCAGCTTACTTTAACATCCACAAGATTTCAATAAGAATGATGTCTTACAGGAGTACTGTGTTGCAGGCATTGCTTACAGAATACCTGTTTAAACAAGAGAACCGTTTGCCTGTATGCCTTATGGGTTTTCAACCTTTGAGCCACAATATAAGCATGTTATACAAGTCATACGAGATCGTGTACATCACAGGAATCTGGGGACAGGGGGAGAGGTTACAAAAAGCACACAAATATTTTCATATCAGTGAGGTAAAGGGGTTTCACAGGTCCTATTGCACTGTGCAGTGTGAGTACCTTCCTTATCATTCCACGCATCTGGGTTTCGTATTTGTCCTCTTCTTGTTGCGTCTATGATAAAAAGGGAGCTGTAAGCATTAACAAGAAGATAACTAAGTTTGTACTTCTTGGAAGTAACAGTAATGATTGCTCTTAACATTTTTATGTGCCTTATGCTACACTAATGGACCTAAAGCAGCATTTCCATTCCAAAGGCAAATCTGTTGACAGCAGGAAAGGAAACAGCTTCTACAGAAGTGTAGAGAGCATACAGGAGATGGTAATGTAGAAAGGTACTGAGCTTTTAGTTCTGTGGCCTTGTCCAAATAGGAAGTAATTGCAACACAATTAAACTCTAAAAGTCTGGAAACCATCTTGGTTGAAAGAGAGTGGCATTTTAAGAGAAATATGCGTGTGTTTTAGTGTGTCTTGTCTTTCAAGCTCCTAAGCAATGTTGGTGTCATTTGTTCTTCCTTTCTTTTCTGCTCTTTGTATGCTCTCCACCCTACATTTACCACTGAGCTGGCTTCAGCAGGCAGTGCTAGCCCTGCAGGCAATGCTGCTTCCCCACAAGCTGAGGCTAAGCAGTGGAAAATGAGCAGGACTGGGTCTTAGTTATCTTCTAAATAAAAGCTTGTGTGGTGGAGAATGATGGTGGTGTGCATTGCTCCGCCCTGTAGCTGGGATTGCTCAAGTTCAGGGAGCACTAATAATACCACCAGACACATGGCTCCCCAAATTCCACAGAGCTGAGTATGTCAGCATCTCCTTGAAGTGGGGTTTATCATCTCCCCTTCAGAGGAGGGGAAGCTGAAGCAGATGTGGAAGCTGTATGCTCAGTCATACAGCCAGTGCTTTGGCTGTGCAAAAAGGAGAAGTGTCAGGTATGTGAGATTTACCTCACCAGAATTGCATTGTTCCCACCTGACCATTGTAGCCTTTGGGTTGTTTCCTTGTGTTCATGGGCTGGGAATATCTCAGGACAACCTGTTTTCTTGCTGTGCTTTTTCCCTATGAGACCCATCCTTACACTCTTGATAGATTCTCTTAATAGGCTCGTTAAGGAAATGGAGGGTGTCTCTCCCAAGCATTTGCCATGCATAAGCCTCAGTTGCCTTCTTTCCAATCCCAGACAAAAGCAAAACATTGTTAACAGTACCTCAAAGTGAACAGTTCCCCAAAGGACCCAGAAATCATGCTCGTAATTACGAGGTTTGAGAACAGCCAACACGCTCTGCAGTCCGTAATTCATGCTATGAAACACGGTGGCTTGCAAAGTAAGTTGCTGCTGTGTGTTGGAAGCAGAGACCATAGCCTTCCCCCCAGCCTGCCTGGGTCTTGTGGCAGTGGGTCCATGGCTGTGTCTGGCTGTGAAGAGCAGCAGCCCACACATTTAGCAGTGCAAAACAATTAACTGCTGCAGTGTGAGCCTGCATTCAGTGACCCAGAAATAAGTTTCATTCAGAATTCCTGTTTAAGGCTTCCATGAAATGTGTACAGATGTAGTTCTTGCTATTCTCATTACGCTGCTCTTTTCAGCAGCTGCTATCTATGTAATGATCCACAGTGGCCATGCAGGGTGGTTCCAGAAGGCTGCAGATGCAACATGACTTAAAAGGACTTTTTGGCCAGAACAAGTGGATCTATGATGCTGATTCAGTTACTCAAAAGATGTGTAGGGAATGCCAAGCTGGCGTTGAGATACCCGAGTGCTGAAATAATGGGGCAATACATTAGAAAAGTCCATAACTGAAAACGTGGCGTACAATCAGCTGCCACTGACAAAGCAAGAGTGGCCTGATATGACTGGCTTTGAGCTATTTAAGATCATTAATAAGTAATTAAACCGTGAGGTGACTGTAAAGGACATCATTTTAGTTAAGATGGAATTACAGACTAGCTGGGTGTGCTTTGCAGTTGATCTGGGCAGGCGGGGTGCAGCCCTTGCTTCAATTAGAGATCCCTTTGCTGGGGGAGCACCGTTAGAGATGCCCCTATGTCAGTCACTGCTCTGCCTGCTGCCCCTCAGAGGACACCTCCCTTCCATTCAGAGCCAAAACACAGCTCTGTAGTTGTGCACAGCTCTAGCCCTGCAGCCTCTGTTACCAGGCAACCTCTGAAATAATGCCTGGGCCTCCCTCTCACTGCTTGTCTGCAGCTGGCCCTTGGTTTTATTTCTTTATTTGCATGCTTTATTCCCTTATTTAGCTGAGCAGATTTCTTCCGTTGCTCATAAGCAGAGCAGTTGCAGCAGTTTTCCCAGCCCCACCTCTGCTGGTTTTCCCATGCAGCAGCTGAGCAAATACCTCATGACATTTGCTGAGCTGGGGTGGCACCCACCAGGGTGCTGGGAGGGCATTTTGGGTGCAGAGCTGGCCCTGCTGCACTCCCTATGAGTTAGCTGAGCTGTGGATTTGGTCCCAGGTGTTTTTGATGGAGAAAAGTCCCAAACAAAGAGACAGCGTTAAGCTATTTTCATGCTTTATTTCTGCCTGCTTTGACTTCAGCTGTGTCTGTGTTCCAGGCATGAGAAGACACTTTCCTTTCCCTGCAGCACTGCTGAGAAGAGCCCTGCTGCAGAGGCGGTTCTGCAGGACCAACCTCATTTTTGCAGGGTGCGGCCGGAGGAGCAGCTTGCTGCAGGAGGCTTCGTGCTGCCATAAACCAGCAGCTTGCTTGTACAGCCTGCACATAGGCGGGCCTGGGGTGCTGCCCAGAGAAGCTCCTTGCCAAGCACAAGCTGGCAGCTCTGCGTTGAGTCCCTTGCACAACCAGGAAGGCATTAAGTGGGAAAAAGAGAATAGCACAGCCTGGCTTTGTGTGGCAGCACCACTCACGTTGGCTTGGAAGGCTGTGTAGGTGCTCCCACACCGGTGTTTTGCACCTTTACTCCAACACAGTGCTGCAGAGCTTGAGAAAGAGCAGAGGGAACCCTGTGGAAATGTATTTAGAACAAGCAGGCGTCAGAATGTTTTCACCCCCTTTCCCTTTTGTATTTTTTTACCCTCTCGTTGCTCCATGCAAGCACAGCATCCATGAGCCTGTTCTGTGTGCTCCACTTCTCTGACTGCTGCCGCCCTTTGGTCTTTTCCTTGCTGCTGCTGGCTGGCAGCTGCTCTGTGTGCCTGTGCTGTGTGTTCATCATGGGCTTCTGGTGGAAAATCACTGTTCTGCTTTGATGATCCGTCCTTACCTGACCCTCTGGAGAAGAACAAAGGCAAGCACATAAATGCTTGCTTTTGTGCATGCAGCCCAGCAGGCTGAGGTTGTGTACGAGGGCAAGTGTAGTTTTTTTACATCCGAGTAAGAGAAGGTCAGGTTTTCAGTCCAGATTGAATGTGCATCTTGTTTACGTCATTCAGTTACCTGTTTGGAAAGATGAAATATATCTGGGAGTGGCACAGCATTCTTAGGTAGCTGTATTCTGAGCTTTTCAAAATAGGCCCTCAGTCTTTTTGTCATTTGTGATGTAAGTCTGTCTCTGGGATGTCTGTGTGTGTGCAGTGTGTGCGTTTTGGTGCCTTTGTTCATGTGGAGCTCAGAAGTTTGGTAGCTGCTTGGTTAAGTATTTCACAGAATCATGGAAGCGTTTGAGTTGGAAGAGACCTTTAAAGGCCATCTGGTCCCACTGCCTGCACTGACACCCACAGCTCCATCAGTGCTCACAGCCCATCCAGCCTGACCTCGATGTCTGCAGGGATGGGGCACCCACACCTCTCTGGGCAGCCTGTGCCACTGCCTCACCTCCCTTATCATAAAAACTTCTTCCTTATATCCCATCTGAGCGTCCCGTAATTTATCTCAAGTGTTCCTGAAGCTGAGTAGTGAACAGAGCAAAAGCTTACAGCCATCTGAAATGTCCTGAAATAACTCCTGCTGCCCTGAGAATTTGTTTCAGGTGCTTTTAACAAGGTTGAGCTGATTGCTGGTTTGTGCTGCTGCCTCTTGTACTCTCAGAGCTGCCCCAGCCAGCTGCCTGCATCTAACATCCTGGAGCTCAGGAAGGATCCAGAAGGAGCACAGGAATGTAAACAGTACTGACTGAGGCAGCACAGTGCATTCCTGATAGGAAAATGTGAAATAAGTGAGAATACAAACACAGCATTGCCCAACCAAATGGGTGTTTTGCAATGCCCTGTTAACAGCGGGCCAAGAACAGGGAGGTACTGTGGTAGGGTGCTCAGTCCTTACCTCTCAGTAACCTTTTTCTTTGGCTGCTGTTTTACTCCATTATGAGAGATGAGGAAGGTGTGACTCAGACCTTCCTTGTCTTTCTCAATTTTATAGTCATGAACAGCGATAAGGAAACTGTTATCTATTTATTCTTTTCCCCAAGATGGCTCAATAGACAGAGCATCCCTCTCTATAATGTCAGTACTGTGCAGCACAAGGAATGCACTGTGTCACAGAAATTGCCAGCATGCTTCAATCACATCACTTACCTTAACACTACGAGGGACCAGTTAACGTGCTGCTAAGTCAGCTCCCAGTCCCAGGAGTGATGCTACACCTGTATTCTCCAGCTTACTGTGAAGTCCTGCAAGGAGTTGCTTCAACAGAAGAAAAAAAGTAGTATCACTTAGCGGTAAATCACTGCTCTTGTTCAACATCATCAGGTTCCTCCCTGCCCAACTCTCCAGTCTGTCCACATCTTGTTGAATGGTAGCACAGCCCTCCAGTGTGTAGGTGCTATACTGGCACTAATAGCAGAGCTGTAGGCCAGTTGAAATAAACGATTTAGGACAAACTAAGAGGCAAGAAAAGGATGCTTACACGTCTCAGGTCTCTGCTGCCTGAAGAAATACCCTGTCACCAGGCAGAGAGCTGCTCCAGCAACGTGTGTAGGAACCTGCTTCCCCTCCATTCAGACCAATTGAGCCCTTCAAGTAAGCTTATTAACAGTCAAATTGAGACAAGTTAATCTTTAAATCATATGTAAATACAGAAGCTTTTCTCATAGTTGTATTTTGAGGCATTCAACGTAGATGCAGATTTTCACAGTGGGAGACTAGATCAGCACAGTTAAGCACTGAAATAGTTTGTCTCCCAAATCATCTTCTGAGAGCAGAATTTGCCTTTTGCTGTGCTGTGCGGCGGTGAATAGGGATTTAGCAGCAAAGGATAATGTGAGGCTCAGCTTAGTGCTGCTGGAAGCCTTCTGCTGAGCAGCTCACACAGCCCTGAGCTGCTTCCCTTAGCTGCTCCAGGGGAGCACTGAGGCTGAGCTGCCCTCCTCCGACCCCAGCAAGCAGGGCTCATGGCAAAGGCTTTCTCTATCTGATCCCTCTTACTCATCTTTGGTATGCAAGTGCTGTTTTCGGGGCTTTTTTCTGGGCTATGTTTCGTCCTTTGACCTCCAAGTTAATGTTTTCATTTTTAAGTCCGGCATAGTGGGACACACTGCTCTCCTGGAAAGAGTCAGTGGTTTGTGGTGTTAATGTATAATGCATGAAATCATCTTTTTTTCAGAGTCCTGAAGCATTCCTCAGTCTAGACTGCCTCTCGCAGCCCAGCTGTCTGACTTCAGCCCTCAGCCACCGAGGTGCTTGGGCTGCTGTGTCCGGTTTGGGCCCATTCAGCTGACACCCTGTGCTGTTCATCCCGTAATTTCAGCCTTCATTGTTTTCATCTCATCTAGTCAGCAGTCATACTCTTGATGTGCTGTTTGTGTTGGCAGTATACCTTTACCATTGTGCCATTCGCACATCAAGGTGTGCCACCTTTTCCATTCTGCTCTGTCTGGGCTCTGGGAGGAAAACATGGACCTGTGTGGGGCTTTGCTATGGGGTTTTGCATGGGGTAGGAGCACAGCCCCTGCCTAACCGTTGCACAGCAGGCATGTTGCTGTGGGTTTGTGCTCAGCCAGCCCTGGTGTTCTGATGGATAGAGGAAGCTCTGTGTTCCTGCCTTCTTCCATTAACCACAACAATTTCTCTGTTAACAGCACTCAGAGAAAACTTAACAGCATAATACCAATAATAATGATAATGATCGCCTTTATCTTTGCACTTGTCGTGGATTTTGCCGTTATTAATCTTCTGCTGGGAGGTAGATAAAGGCTGTTAATTCCTATTTGGGGAGGTTAAGGGTAAATCTGTAGATACGTATCTACCTTGAGAAATCCGGGTGTGGGTTTTAGAATGGGGAGCCCCAAGCCTTGAAACCCAATCCAAGCCTCTTCATAGGACAGACATTGCTTCTCAATATGTGCTAGACATTAATTAATGTCTTTTGTTTGCTGATCATTCGCTCTCAATGAAAAGCCAGTGGAGTATGGATAAAGATAGCAGTACAGTTGTGTACTTACTGTGTGATTGTTTTCGTGAAGCCTGGGCTGGCTCTGCTCCTCAGATGGATGTTGTGCTTGATGAAATTGGCTCTGCTTGTGTTGGCTTCCATGCTGTTTGGGTGAAATCCCTGAATGAGGCCATGCTGAAGTCTTTCCAGAAATCCACTGAAGTAATTGTAAGTGCAAAGCACTCCTACTACAATGCTTTGCTAATTTTCTCAAAAAATACTTTTTTTTTTTTCTTTGAAATACACATTGAAGTGATAAATGCAACAAAATTCCATACAAACACCATTCAGCTCTTGGATTAGCAGCCCCAGGGAATGTACACCAGGGACATTACACGTGGCCCATGTGTGTGCCCTGGGCAGCTGGAGGGACCTGTTTGCATTGGTTTGGCTCAGAGGGCACAGATTCAGAAGACGTGGCCATGGCCTGGGGCATGTGTGTGGAGTTCCCTGGGCTGTCCCTGCTGAGCCTGCTCCAGCACCCTGCTCATGCAGCTGCCTTGGGTAAGGGTTCTGCTGCCGCTGGACTGAGAGGAGAGAGAAAACAGTTCCCCAAGGAGAACGGGTGGAACATGACTCAGGTGACAGAAGTCTGCTGCTTTTCAGGAAATGGTGCCGGAAGCTTGTGCGTTAATTTCTGCCTTCTGACTGGTTTCTGTAGGGAAGGCTGCGATGCAAAACAATGTGGCCCTACTGAGAGCGCATCCGTAGCTGTGGTGGGAACAGGATTAGCATGTTGTGTGTTTGGGAAAGGCTGAGAGAAGGGTGTGTGAGCATTTTCTGCAGTGCTCCTTGTCATCCATAAGGCAGCACTGACTGCACTTGTGAAGGTTCCTGCCTCATTCACAGTGAGTTTGCTGCTACTGCCTTCCTGTAAGACTGCAGCAGACGAGGGAGATGGTACTGGCCTCCTTCATTAGCTGTGCTTGCAGTAATGCAAAGCTGGCAGCATCACTGAAGAACCAAACCCCCGACCTTTATCCAGGATGCACCCTGACATGGAGGGGAACGCGTGGCAGCTGCTGGCAAGAGAACCTCAGCTTCAGCAGTTCCATCCCACCAGCCTCTGCCCTCCTTGGACCAGCAATTGCCCTCTGCCACAGAATGGCTCTTCTGGCTTTAATTGTGAAAATGAGTTTAAAGTTTTACCCGTGTTGAAATCCTAAGAACGTGGCGTAAGAAGGAACCTCAAGGATCATCATGTTCCTATTCCCCTGCCACAGACAGGGTCCCCATCCACTAGATCAAGTGCTAGATCAGGTTGCCCAGGCTTCACCCAACCTGGCCTTAAACACCTCCAGGGATGGGGCATCCACAGCTCTGGGCAGCACCTCACCACCCTGTCAGTGTAAAACTTCCCCCTGACATCTCAACTAAATCTCCCCCTCATCGTATCTCTATCTAACCGTGTAAAAAGTTGATTCCCCCCCTGTTTGTAGGCTCCCTTTAGGTACTGAAAGGCTGCAATGAGGTCACCCCGCAGCCTTCTTTTCTCCAGGCTGAACAAGCCCAGCTCCCCCAGCCTGTCTTTTTAGGGGAGGTGCACCGGTCCCCTGATCATCTTTGTGGCTCCCCTGGACCCTCTCCAACATCTCCCTGTCTTTTTTGTACTGGGGGCTCCAGACCTGGACACAGTGCTGCAGGTGGGGCCTCACAAGAGCAGAGTAGAGGGGAACAATCACCTCCCTGTCCCTGCTGCCACCCCTCTTCTGATGGAGCCCAGGATACCGATGGCCTTCTGGGCTGCAAGAGCACACTGCTGGCTCATGTTCAGTTTTTCATCTAGCAGGATCCCTAAGGCCTTCCCCATATCTGCTGCAGCCAGTTCTCCTTTCTCATTTAGCAGAGGAGGTATGCTCTCTTTGGCTTGTCTCTTCTGACCAGCGTGCCCTTAGAACCCCTTCTTGTTTTGACATCCCAAGTTCAGTTCCATCTGTAAAGACGTGCTAAAGCACATCAAGCCCAGATTTTTTCCACACATGAAGAGGATTATTTTAGGAGAAACACAGGTGCACACACCCACTTCATTGGGAAAAAAAAATAAAAAATAGGCCATGGTATTTGACATTTTAAATAATAGAAATAAAGCTCGGGGAAGCAATTGCTGAACCATAGATCGGGCTGAGCCTGACAGCTGCGTGTATCGGATGGTACTGGCTGTTCTCCTTCAGTGCTCACCGAGTCCAAAATCACCTCTAGAGATACTTCTGATATCTAAAAGTGGAACAGGTAAAATTGCAGCCTGCTTGAGAACTGCCCAGCACAGGAGCCAGGGCTTTGCTCCCCAGCTGGCCGGGTTAGCACAGGACGGGCTGCCCACATGGTGCTTCAACTCAGAGCTTTTGTCTGGCCAAAGGATGGGCACAGCAGTGATGGGACCCGGGCTTGGCCAGCCACGTCTGGGGCTGCAGGTGGGTCTTCAGATAACCTTGGGTGTCCGCTAGGCATTTGGGGTCAGTGTGTTTTCCTTGGGTGTGGAGAGAGAGAACTTCATTTTGGGAGTCACGGCGTTTGCCCTTTACAAGCGCTTTTCACTGATTGCATTTGAAGCAGTGGTCGTTACTGAGTGAGGAATGATGGAATCGTTATTCCATCTCATTTGGGTGAAAAAATCACGCTGTAAGCTTATCATGAATGCTGCCAAATGCCATTTCAAGTGCTGTGAAAAGAGTGTTATGTTTCCTTATCTGAGGGCTGCTGTGAACTCCTGGAGTCATTAATGCAAGAAAAACAGATCATAGAAAATGACACAGGAAGCACAGCAGGAGGAATGACTGCTTAGCTAGAAACTGCACACACCTCACATACGTAATGCTTTGCAGTCTATCAGAAGATCCTATCCCTGTCAGATAGCAGTAAGACATTCCCGGGGGTGGAGTGAAGTGAATTTATCTCAGGAACGAGCAGGTTCTGCTTTGCTAAGCTGGCTGCTGTGCTCAGTTCGGGAATTTTCCACTCACCTCTGTTATCCACCAGCACAGAAATCCCAATTAGGGCTACTTACCTGATTAGGTAACGGCTGTCTGCAACTTACCTGTCCTTCTGTGGGCTCTCCTCTGCCGTCCTGACTGCTCGCTTGAAAAATTGCTGCTTTGGAGGTATGCCTTAAAAACGTGTCGTGGAAGGGACTGTGCTCCTGTTCCTAGCAGAAGGCAGCTGCGAGGCAGCCCTGGTGTTACTCAGAGAAGGGCTGTCTGGTGATGCTGCATGGGGCTGTTATTGTCTTTTAATGTCTGGTTCATTAGCGCAGCACTCACGTTTGCAGGGGGATGATGCTCTGAGATGCTGTCAGAAAGGGGTGGTGTGGCCCGAGGAGGTGGTCGTGGCTGGCTCTGTGCTTGCTGCCTTTTTTTTTCCATCAGCATTTGCTTCCATCAGTGCAGGCTTAGGCTAACTGGATTGAAGTGCTTATTATAATTTTGTGCTGTGACTCAGATTATAGCACAGACTGTTAACGTGGATGCAAGCCGCAGGCTGACAGAGATTGGTAGGCAGCTCAGCTATGCTGGAAATAACAGCTGAAAAACCTCCCTTTAAGAGTGAAGATAGGCATTAGCCAACATCAGAAATCAGTGGTTAGTTCCTGAGATTGCTAGTTAGAACACGCCAAGATTGCAAGCCCTCTGTGAAGGATGTATATGAGAAGAATCATTCAGCCAGTGATACGTTGGGAACACGTCTGTTTAGTTCTCTTAAATCACCCACCCCTCCTGGTGAAGGCACAACAAGGGGACACAGATCCCCATCCGTGATTCCTTATGAACACAATTCCCTGCTGGCTGAATCAGCAAAGGGATCTGAGTGGCCACAGCTGCCGAGACCTTCTGATAATTTGCATTCTCCACCTCCTGCCCTTATTGCAGCACTGAGCCAGTCCCTCGTTACCATGGGGCTGCTGGTTGTGAGCTCAGCCCTGCACGGAGGCACTGTGGGAGAACTCTGACAACAGGTGCCTTTGTCAGCACACCTTGGCAGCTCCCATGCAGTGAGCTGGGAGCAGCAGCAGTGAGTGCTACGTGTTCCTTCTGCAAGGAAAGGAACCCACGGGGCACCTCCTGAAGCCAAAGAGGAGGCGGTCGTGCAAAGGGCTTCTGAAAACCTGAGCAGGTTTGAGCGTATCAGGTATGGTTTTTGTTTGACGTGGCACAAGGAGCAGCCCCGTGAGCTGGATGTTGTGTCAGGATCTGACTCTGAGCTACCTCTGCCGTGGGAAGCACTTGCAAAAGCTCTGCACGCCTCTGAAGAGAGAGATGGATTTTTTAAAGCAGAATTACAGATGCATTTTGAGTTAAAAAAAACCCTTCCTTCATCCTGCAAGGGTTAAGCGTGGTCAGAAGCTGCTTTGGTCCCAAGGATTTAACCTCAAGTACTGCATTTTTGTTTGCCATAAGCCTATTAGAGTTCTCTCAGTTTCCTAGCAATAACTTGTAATTTCCCCCCTATTTAAGTGAAAGAGGTGTCGGTTTAATCCTGAACCATACAGCCGTTGCTCAAGTTTCCTATTCAAATGCAAATAACACCTGGTGCTTTTTAGACACCCATGTAATCTGTGACAAGGATACTGCAGGAGCACAGGAAAAAAAAAAAAAAAAAGAAGAGCAAGGTGCGTCTTAACCCAGTTTGCTCTGGAAAGCGAAAGTGTAACCATCTGCTACCGACTCATTCAACTGGAAACTTCCAGCCGAGCTGCAGCACCCGGCCTGTGCTCCTTGGGGACAGCCGAAAAGATCGTGCTCCTGAAACAGGTCAGATGTGCTGCTGGGATGGACAGAAGGCTTCCAGAGAGAAGAACGTAGCGGATGTTGCCATGCGGGAGCGCGGATTTGGTTGGAAGTTTCACCTGAAAGGAGTTTGTTCTGGAGGTGATCAGTTTGTTTCCGCAGACTGCTTGCTGTGATTCTCCTGTTCTCATCCCTGCGCTGGCTTTTGGTCTGTGTCAGATGTTAGGATAAACAAATTGACATCTCGGAGTAATTTGGGAGGCAGCTATGCTTTGTAAGGCTCAGAGACAAGATAGCGCGCTGCTTAAATAAAAGCAGAGTAGTCCTGGGTTTGGGCTAAAAACCTTCCACTGCGAAACTTTCCAGTTGGATCAGTTGGTCTCGTTTCACTTGTGGAAGCTCAGGCTTATTCAAAAGGTTCTACAGACTTCACTGCCTTTTGCACAACTGTTGTACTGCGTTACAAGTGGAACCAAAGGACTCTTCGGGGGGGGAGGGTGTGACTTGGTACCGTTACCTTCTTGCTCATAGCACAAAATGCAGCTTGGATTTGTGTAGAAGAAAAAGTGAATGTTCTTCAGCGCTTCGGAGGAGAGATTTAGAAACCTGTGGAAAGCTGAGAAATGTTTGAAAGACGTCATCGTAACACCATCCTCTGTGGATTTAGAAATAAGCCAGGAGGACCCGCTTGCTGGGAAGCAAGCTAACCTGCTAAAGAAGGTTATCAGCTCTCAGTGGAGAAAAGTAGGGAAAAGTATCAAGTCTGAGAAAACAGAAGCGATCGCAGTCCTGCCATCAAGTGCTGGTGGGTCAGTTCTTCCTTAACACTAATCTGGTTTGGCTGCTGCTCGTTCCTCTTCAGCCTGATACTGGAATTTCAAGTACTCGCTGGATTTTTTCAGCCTTCAGGAGACGCTTTTGCAAGCAGACCGCTGAGAATGCGAGCAGGTGTTCTTCCTGCAATAATAAGAGGCACCCTGGAGAGGGAGATCTGTGCAGGAGGTATTTGCTAGGTCGGGTTTGCTCCTGACACTCCTTCCTCATTAGCTCTTCAGGTGGGTGTGAACAACTGACAAAGAGCCGTGCCAAGGCTCGGGCTCACGCTCCCACTGCTAACGGCAGGATGATGGAAGAGGTGTCCATCATGGTGGCTTACGACGCGCACGTTTTCAGCCAGCTGTACGATGAGGACTTTCTGGCCAATCTGGTGGCAGTCAGCAAGCCCAGATCTGTGGTAGGTGTTCCTCTCGCTTCTTTGCCAACGGTGCTTAAGGTTATGCTCTTTGCAGCAGCTCAGTCCTCCTGCTGAAAGTTTGTTTGTTTTTAGTACCTTCTCAGCAATTTGCCTTCATGTGCCAGTGAGACTAAAGTTTATTTCAGTGGAGAGAAGATTATTAAAATAATACCTTTCTAGATTGCTAAATTTAGAAGAGGATGACCTGCTTAGTGGGAAAATAACACTTTTGGAAATAATCTTTAAATAATTGAGATAATGAACTGGAAAGCAATTGGTGTTCATGCTAAATGATGGGAACTCCCTCTGTGTCTGAGCAGTCAGCTGGGGGCTCAGACCTGGGGTCTGTGCTGGAGCTCACTGTCAGCCATTGGATCTAAGAGGTCCTGGCCTTTGCAAGGCAAGGATGACTCAACACTTCTCTATGCTTTTGAAACCAACATAAGTATCTGTTAGAACTTCTTAGTCGAACTACCACTTACTTTTTCCTAAGTAGCACGTCTGGGTAAATTCCATGTAGCGTGATCCCCTTCTGCCCTCACAGAGATCCCAGCTCTTCTCTGTGGAGTTGCAGCGATGCTTTTCTGACTCCAAAGTTTGGTGCCAGCATTCATTTTGCTCACAGTTCTACAGCTGTGCCCATGGTGGGCCAATCCGGCTAGAAGGGGTCGAAAGGAGCCTTTGAAATCTGGATGTCCAGCTTACCTTGAAAGCAGATACAGTGAAAAGTTCAGTATGAATACAAATCAGACTAATTATTTAGGAATCCAATTAAGCATCTCTGTCCTCACTTTGGTCTATGTATGTGTTTGTGTGCACTAAGTTAGTCCCAAAGGTACCTGCAGCAGTTCATTAAGCTGTGACAAAGGAGATCTCTCAGAAGAGGAAGACCTTCCTTTTTTGCCGTGTGTAAAATCTCCCTGCGCTTATTTCCTGCTTGGATTTGTTTGCCTGTGTGTGCTCGGGGTATTTCAGGGCATGAACTCATCTCCTGCGTGCTCTGTGTAAGGTAACAGCCTGAAGTTGTGTTCCAGAACTGTGGAGATGTGGCACTGAGGGGACGTGGGCATCTGGGGTTGGTGGGTGGTTGGACTTGGGGATTTGAGAGGTCTTTTCCAGCCTTAATGATTCTGTGATCTAAAGCAGAGTTTTGCCCAGTCCCTTTTATTACTGAGCCTTTGTCTGCTTGAGGAGCACCATGATGGCACTGCAGCTCTGGCACACAGAGTCTTTGCACAGGTGAGAGAGCCTCTCATAATGACACAGGGCTACAAAGTGTTAATTACCAAAATGGAAACCAGCCCAGATTGCAGCTGCCAGTCTCACTGCATGCAGCCTTTGTGCTGCAGGAAGTGGGACTGCCATGGGGGTTGCTCACATGTGGGGCCAGCCCTGCTCAGATGCTTGGTGCTATGTAGGTAATAGAAAAGTCAGGGTTAGCTGCTGTTCCCCTGCTCCCATCAGTCCTGGTCAGATTTTTTTCCACTGGAAATTTCACACTTCCATTTAAATGCAGCAGTGCTTTTAGCGTTGCTTTGATGCATGTAAATACCAGACAGTTTTAACAGGAATATTTGCTCTCAATGCTGTATGACAGCAAACTCCCAACATATATCTTTATAAAATTAGTCATATTGCAGTGTGACCATGACACCTGGCTGTTTCTCTGTGCAGTTTTGCTTCTCTGTTGGTTTGCATCTTAGGCAATCACTTGCGCCTGTACAAAATGAGTGGGAATTTGTCACCATCAGGATCTGATAGGTGTTGCATGTGTTTCACAGAGAGGTGGCTGGAACTAGTGGAGAAATTGGAAAGCATCAGATAAATAGCATCAGTGAGCATGGGACCAGGGTGCCTTCCTTTTACATCACCGTATCTTTTTGTTAGTCCAAAACCACGTTGCACTGAGATGCAAGGAAGCATAAAAGTTGGCTGCTGGGAGATCTGAGTAGCTTTACTCCAGGGAATTTAAATTCTCAACTTATCTGCAGGAAACTTGGCTGCTAAGACTTATAAAAATGCTATGCTAAGTGGTATAATCCTCTTAATCCAGAGCTGAAGGACGTTCTTCTGGAAAGCTGCATTGTATTTTCATTTGCCTGCCCGCCTTGCCCCTCTGTTCAGGGGGATTATCAGGCATTTCACAGAAATCCTTCATGGTTACACACCAGCACATGCTGCCATAATGATTTCTTGGTCGCCATTTCTCACAGAAGCTTTAGAGCCAAAAGGAGGAGGTTCAGAGCAGATGGGTTGGCTGCAAAATGGGTGGGAAACTGGGTGGCCTGGCAGGAGAACAGGGCATAGCAGTCGTGGTTGGAGGTCTCACTGGCAGCTGGCTGACACTGGAGGTTGGTGGTGGGGTGGGGATGATGCTGAATGCTGCTAGATGTTTTCAGGCCTACGCACAAGGAAAGGATGACTCCTCACTTTCAGATGGCAAAAACTCCCGAGCAGGAGGTAAGACTGCGAGCCCACTGCAAAGCCCTTCCAATATCTGTTCATATGAGGCTGTAGTTGTGTCTTCTGTGTGGTCTGCTGGTCAGGAGGAGCTGCTCGCATAGGAGCTTGCCCTGGATGGCATTTCCCCCAGCTTGCTGCTGCCAAAAGGAGTACGAGTTGGGACGGTCACTATTGTTAGGATCGACTCTTCCCAATGGATTTGGCTCATCTGCACCCTCCTGTAATCCTTCTCTTTTCCTTTCCCTACAGCAGCAGGGATCTGGCCCTCAGGAGCTCTGCCTCTGCTCCCCTGCAGGGCAGGAGCAGCCAGATTGTGACCTGCTCATTTCCTAGGAGAAACAGCTATGATCTGAATTTGTATTTATATAGTGATATAAATATATATATTTATAATTTATATATATATAAATTCGCCTTTTAAGTAGTCAGACCTGCCATGTCATCGTCTTCCCCTTAAACTCATCAGGATTTTAAGTGGGTAAAGAAAGCACTCATAAAGCTAATTAAAGAGGCAATCTTATCACCATAGTTAGCTTAGCAACTTCAGATTTGTCAGTTTGACCAATGAATATTAATTTGGTAAGAATTTATTTATTATTAAGACTTGGTTAACATCCTTAGGTGTCAGAAATAAGTGCATTAAAATAAAATGCTTTATTTCCTTGCGTTCCCCATGTTTTAAACTCTGAAATTTTCCACGTGTTTGGGAAAACTGGCACAGCTTCCATGGTGACAGTGTGAGGCATCTGCAGGTCCCCTGCCACGTGGAATCCCTTTGGGCCAGAGAGGAGTACCAGCTCTGGTTAAGCTCCAGCTGCTGATAACAAAGACATCATTATGGAGCAGATAGCTGTCTGATAAAAACAACTCAGTGCTTGTTTTAATGTGCACAGATCAAGCCCCAAATGTGCATCTTGTAAACAGCATAAAGCACATGTTTTGTGTGGCAGTGATGTGTAGCTCTTGTGCAGTTTGTCTACTTGTTCCATCTTATTTGACCTCCCTCACTCATTTGTGATGAAATAAGAAATTTGGTACCAAATTCCCTGGGGCTGTTTGCTTAAGCATTGCATCCCATTTGCTTTCTGCTGTCCCAAGCCTTCCATGTGAAGCACATTCTGGCAGCCACACTTAATGAGAGCCCTGGGCCTGGACTCTCAGCTACTGCAGGGCATCCACTGGTGTGTGTGGGTCTGGTTTTCATCTTTCTGTTCAGTGCTCTGTGGTGCAGTTTGTATCCAGCAGTGTTGTCAAACAGGGGAGGAAGATATAGGAGAAAATGCAGAGGAAAAGCAAAGAGCTCTCACTTGAGTTTGACAGGAAGTGTGAAAGGTGTCATTTTCCATGGAAATCTGTTCATCTCTGGCTGTTGGAAATACGCTTCCAACTTCTCACTGCGATGTACTCAGGTTTCAGCTTCTCATCTTGGTTCTCAGCATGCCTTTTTTTTGGCAGGACGCAGCATTCTGTGCTGTTATGTCTCTTATCCCTGTGCAGGAACCAGCGTGCTGCGAGCAGCTCAGCTCTCTGCTCTCTTGTCGAAGCTGAGAAGCTTGAGCTCTTAAGCCCCCTGCTGTAAAGCATTTACACTGTGCACAAGGCAGCTTTGCTCTGCATGCTTTTTATTTATCCCAAATGCATATTGCAGGATCGGATATCATCTTCCAGTATTGGTCCTAATGATGACCCAGGGTGAAAAACTTCTTCCTTCGTCCTTTTCCTGTTCCTTGTGCAGACTCACTGTCCTCAGTGAGCTTGGTCCAGGCCTGGCACTATGCTGTGCTGCATGGGAATGAGATGCCTCACAGCATTTCACATCCATCCATGCAGTTTTCTGTTCCTACCTTCTTCTTACCCACTTGTCATCTGTAGAGTTTATTAACAGGATTTTATTTTCTACTTTACTACTTTAATAGTGCTGAATGTTTTGAGTCCCAGAAGAAACCCTTTCAAATGTCACTGACCAAAAAAAAAAAAAAGAGAAATACCACTGAGTAACGATTCCCCTTGACAGTGTTTATTTGACCCAATTCCCAAGCTCTGTAACTCATGCTTCATGGCTATTGTGCACTCTTCTGCTTTTTATTTATTTATTACTGTTGTCATATTTAAAATCTCTCACGTGCTGGGGAATCCAGTGCTGGAGAAGTCCGTTACTGGTGTGAAGTTCTATCAGTCAACACAGTAATCAGCCCTGGAGATCAGGATTGAAGTGAGACCTGCAGTTGGCAATAGCACATGGGTGCGGAACCAGCTGTGTTCCCAGACCTGTTATCAGCTGGGTCCTTATCAGCTTTTCAGAGATGGGTTTTCTGGGTTTCAGCTTACCTGCCAAAGGGCCTGGGGGGTTCGATTTGTGCTTCTTAAATATCAGTAATGCAGGATTTTCTTCAAGTCTAGGTGAGTCTTTTCTGTGCTCAGTGAGCATCAGTGGGCCGGAGAGCTTGTCTGTCAGTTCTGCTAACACTTCTGCACTGCCTTGTTTTCATTGCATCAAAGCTGTTTTCTGGACACTTCTGACTCTTCTGCATCAAAGA